AAACATTGAAAGCTCTCTCTGACGTGTCTCCCTCCGCGACCCGAAAGGAGAAGCGGCGATGGAAGAAGATGATGATGGTTAACTAGGGCCTACTTATGAGTCACTGGACGTTATAAACTTCGTGGGGTAAAGTTCCTTTGCCGGTCGACTGGGAAGTATTGTTGCTACTTGTTAATTCCCAGCCATTGTTCACTACATTCCTTACCACTAATAATATCCGTCAGTTACGGGGGACAATTTTGCCCTGTCATAGCCTCGTTAGGGAACTGTTTTGAAGTTCGTGACTGTAGTAATGGCTGAGCGGGACAAGTGCAGCCGCACATTGCCTTCTTGAATTCCCTCATTAATATTTATCCGATCCGCCCAACGTGAATGATAGAGAGTTTATGGAATGGAAGGTCTGTAAATAGTTTGACTGAAGTTTCAACGAGTGTCAGCGTTAAACTGTTTTGAATTCTGTCAATTGTTATGTCGATTACTAATTGCTTATTGATTTAGAACTCAAACGACCATGATAAAGACTGGAGGCAGGGCATATTTGACGCATACACATTGGACTATGCTCGAACACAGCCGCTGCTAAGAAACCTGCGCGTAATTCATTTTTTTCTTAACGGCCAAAAATTGCTTAATCCAAAATTACGCGGCGAACATTCGATATTTCTATCAAATTCCATTCGCTGTGAGTTCATTCGTTTATTTCCAGAGCCTGATATTCTTTTCGAGTTACCGGAATAGCAGCCTCAGAAAGTCCTTCCAGGGACTCCTGTTTTTTTGCCAACGTCAACGTACTCATATATTGGATTCCAAGTTTCTCAGGAAAGACTTCGTGATGTTCATAATGAGATCGTATGATCAAATTAATATTCTGATTCATATTCCCTTGCTAAATTTAAGTTGTTCAGGGGACTGAATAGGTAAATCTTAGGTTTAAGCGTTACCATGGTCCAGTGCAGTATTCGAAGAGATGTTAATTGCGGAAATGAGTTTACTATTACTAGTTTACAAATTATCTAAATGCCGTCAGATCTCAAGATATTCTCCGTGTCACTCACTGTCTATCGTTTTTTCTGGTGTATTCATTAAAGTGGTTTCTGTGTATCCGTTTTTGCTAACTTCCGCTTTGGCATATTGCGCTCACGTAAAATCGCTATTTTTCCATACGTCAGACACTGGAAGTTCACTCTCATACCTTTCTGTGTACCCAGTGAAGGTTTACGCGTTTTCCATGTTTTACTCGCCTCCACACTTTATAGTGTCCACACTTGTTCTTGTTACTGTAAACTAATAAGCTGTTTGCAGGAGGCTGACACGACAGAAACCGCAAGGTGCAAGCGAAGCTATGACTTTTGGCCGGTCAGTAAGAAACCGTATGGCACATTCAAGAGTCAGCAAGACGATCTGAACGGTAGGTGAACGACCTGAATTGATTTTCGTTCAGTTTTTTGCTTCGGTGATTGAAAAATCTTGCCAAGTTCATCGTTAATTTCTGTCACCTTCTTGTTACCAGTGAACTTACAGATGCGCTGGCGATTCGAGGCTGCATTCTTTTTCCGAATAACACAGCCACCTGTCGACCCGGAGTCTACGCGCACCCGAAAGACTGGCGACAACAGAAACACGTAGTTGACGACAAGATTCGCATCCTGCGACATCGTCTCCACAATCTGAAGGTAGTGTTTGGCTTCTGAAGAGCACTTCGGTAGCACCGTTGATGTTTTGCACTTTGTATGGCGCTGCTTAATCGAACCGCACCCAGAGATGATTTTGTGTTCATGTTTGTTGCGATCATCACTTTGAGCCGTTTGCATCAGCAGAAAATCTCTGGTTTGTGATGCCCGCCGTATTCGCAGCTTTTCAACACTTTTGCTATAGGGCGCCCGTTACTGCCTTACAGAAAAAATTTTCTCTGACAGCAGGTCTACCTCTACTTTGTTCATTCGTATTGCGTGCTTGCCTCCTGGTCGACGTCTGCCGAGATTCGGCTCCTGCACGATAAGCTCATCGGCTCGAGTGAATGGTTGATGTTCAACACTCCCAATCTCCGTTTTTTAATCTCCACATGTACTGGGGTCGCTTGTGCTCGGAAGAGAATAGTCATTCCTTACGTGGTCCTGCTATTTAGCCTTCATTATGCTTCGAAATCAACGCCGATATACACAGTTCAATCGCGTTTTCTCCCCTGTTCGAACAAAGGTCTCCACACCGTACGACAGCAGTGGCTTGGAAAAGTCAGGGCAGAGTCGGGCTTTTGTTGGAGAATGTACTCTTTTCCCCGCCCAAATACTGAACATTTGAAAGCGTTCGAGGTTCAACTGGTCCTCCAGTTTATCTCTAGCTGGATGGTGTCTTCATTGAAGATGATGGAGCCGAGATATTTAAACTGCTCAACCTCCTGAAATGTTTCACTTTTCTGTTCCACTTGTAAATCAGCTGGCCGGATGGTTTCTTTATAACCTTGGACTTCCGGGCGTTAAGGAAGATGGGGGCTTTCGCAGCTGTGTCGCATACTGAAACCGTCAGATGACAGAGCCCGTTCCTCGCACTACTCTCTAGGACAATATCTTATACATAATCCAAGTCAGGAAGATATTTAGCCGGTTATCTTGAACTGTGCCTTCCCTCTAGAATAAGACATTCGTTTTTACTAGGGTCAGTACTGTTTCGGAGAATAAAGACGAACAGAATCTTGAATAGCAATGGTGAAAGCACAGAGATGTATTGATTTATATGCTTCTGTATGTTTAGATGATCTAAGCAGTAGTCATTGAAAAAGAAGTATCTAGCTGTGAAATATAACCATGAAGTAGTTGCAGGCAGCTTGAAGTTGTTGGGATACTGATTAACATTTTACAAGATTGACATTCGGAATGGTGACACCTGCGAAAATAATTTTATTTCGACACTACCAGCTACTGTTATCTGTTTTGTAAGCAGTGTTTGCAGCTAGGGGACGCTAGAAGACCATTGCGGCAAGTTGCTTAACGCATTCTTTCCGCGTTCTTATTCGTTTATTTGACACTTTACTTGGAAACATTGAAAGATGCGTAACCAGGCCAGATTCTGTATCGGCTCTCTCGCCTGCATGTTCCGCGATTTGTCGATCGAACTGCATTGACCAAACATTAACGACGGAAAGAACCGTTTAATTGGCGCAGCTGTCTTATCCCTATTTGATACCACTGACTGATCTTGAACAATACTGTCCATTCCCAGACCGTATTTATTTCTCAGTGTTTGACTGTAGTTCATCTCTGTGACCACTGGCCAGACTGTTGTATACAAATTTCATAAGCTACAGAGGCTATGAATTCGCGTTGACAAAAATGACGCAGAAACGATTTGAAGACAGATAGCGTCAGAATGAACGGCAGGTCAGAGTAATGGATACTTTGTAACGGTTTAGATCTGGATCTTTCATGCTACCCAGTAGCCATAGCTCGTCACACTTGAGCTTAGGGTGCTGCACTAATCTGCATGTTAATGCCTTTAAGAGGAAATGTTTCAGGTATAAAGGTAATATTTATAAATGTAGTGGAACTGCAGAAGGTACAGCGTGGAGGTAAACACACGAATCAGTCAAAAGAACGCAACAATTCGAGAACTAAACCGCAAGAGAATAGTGCTGAAGAGCTTTAGATGTCTGTATGCATCTACTCCCACCTATGGTCATGAGTTCTGCATAGTGACCGAAATAGCTCTAACTCGGACATACGTGATTGAAATTAGAGTACTGCTGATTTGATGGTACTCGACAAACTTCAAGATACGGTTATCCTAAAAAGCCACTTGAAAAACGTTCCTTCACTGAAATCGAGAGGTCAGAACTGCAATGTTCTGATCACGTAGCCAGGATACCAAATGAGACTTTTCTGACGTTTCCTCTCTTTGGAATACAGTCCGTAGAGCTTGGCAGATGCGCAGATGACCGAAACTACTGAGAAGATTCCTGAAGCTGCGGTCACCACGCCCTGAGAGGGTGGCGGACTGTAAAAATAAACGAATATAAGCAAATATCTGCCAAAAAATGATTTATGATCTCCCACTTCCTTCCTGCACATAGCGTTAATGCCATGAGTTGCGTTGATAATTTTGCACGAGTGTAAAACTAGGCAAGCTCACAGAACGATGGTCGCATCAATGTTAAAACGTAAAAAGAAAACCAGCTTTCTTTTCGCTTTTTTCCCCGTCGAAGCTGACGTGATGCTTTAGGATCTCCGCAAGCATCTGAAAGAAGGTCGACCTGATAGCCAAGTCCTGTCGTACACCAATTCGTATTGGCAGCCTGATGGTGAACCTTCGGCGAGCGCGTCGGAGTCGTCGACGTCTACCAGTCACGGTATTGACGCGTACGTTGATGACGACGTAATCACTCAAGTCTGTTCCTGTCAACTACTCAATGATCGCGACCCGACAAATCACCCGTTGAAGAGGTGAAACAACGATTTTTGCGTGTTGCGGATGTCAGATGCTGTTCACTTCTAAACTCTGAGACACAGTCAAATGAGCTACACATCCATTAGTCTCTTACATACTCCAGTCATTTACAGAATATCATCACGATTGAAAGCTTGTGGTCGCTGTACTGTCATGACGTCACTGGTTTGATATAGGCAAGGTGTAGGTCTGTCTTCGTAGAAAGCGGTATATTAAAAAAGCGGTGAAGGCAAACGTGATCTTTCTATTTAGTTCTAAATGGAGATTCTGAAACCGAGATATTTAAGCTAGTCAACCTTATCTGCCGTTCCACTGCCTTGATGCTCTTGCGAATCAGTTGTGTTGAACGGATTTCGCGCAAGTTCTAATTTCTTGACGTTAACTTGAGGCCAGTGTGCAGTATTGTGTATGAAAGCTATTATTTTAAAAGCCCGCTGCTGATCTTGCTCGCAAGAGTAATGTCATTTGCATATTCCAGGTCAGTGAAATGCCTGTCTGGATGTCTTGAACTGCACCTCCAGTTTAAGATGGGAAATTTTATTCCACTGCGAAACTGTACCAAATCAAAGTTAGGAACAGTGCCAAATGGCAATCATCCTTCTACGTTACTACGCAATGTCGTTCCTTCGTGAATACCTTTCGAAATTAGCAGATGTTAAAGTTTTGCGGTTGTTCTTATCATTGGACGACATAGTGTCAAATGTGAAATCTCAAAAAAGGTGACAAATCAAGCTAACTTTTCTGTTATTAGACGAAAAAGGAAAACTTCTCGAGCAGGGGTACAGTACTCTAACACCTGCTTAGATTAATCATATTTCCCACTTAACTATGAGAAATACTGTCTTGTTTAAATAAAACCTGACGATACACTAGCAAATGTCAGTCCTGACTATTCCTGACACTGTTATTCTTTGCAACAAATAAAATGACACGTTAATCTTGTCAAGATAAGAGAAATCTGATTTACGGGAATGATTAGCGGTCACGTTTTGTTTGTGATTGTGTTATTGTATAAATTGTTTTTCATTTCTTTTAATACGCGACTGTTCCTGTAGGCTGCGGCAGTCAGAGATGACCGATGCGGACTTGCTACAACTAGCCGAAAGAGATGGCAAGGGTCGGGCAGGAAAAAAGAAAGCAAAGGGCAAGTCGGTCGAAAAGTCGGACAAGCGCCGTAAAGGGAAAGTAAAACACGACGACTGTAACGTGCCGAATTTGAATTGTTTCACGCATGACAACAGTCACTGGCGAACTGAACCTTACTGGACTCTAGGGCCTTTCTGTTTCTGTCAGAATTCTTACAACAATTCCTACTGGTGTCTTCGTACGGTGAATTCAACGCACAACTTCTTGTACTGCGAATTCGTCACCGGTTTCATCAGTTTTTACGATATGACGAAGGACAAGTACCAGGTACGTTGGAAACGAATTACATCATCATAGATTTGCTCTCGTGCATGAAGTCGTTCAGTGTTCGATCAGAATTTTGTTTCTTTAACTCTCATCTCAGGCACTGCCTCATAAATCATTATCGTTTGTTGATATCCGTTCGTTTCATCGTTTAGTTGCTTTAAGATGCCCTTAACAGTTTTGAGTTGAAAAATTTTGGGTAACTCCCTTATTAGTATCCAGCAGAAAGTTTTTACCGTGTCGCCCATCTCAATGAAAGATTGTAGCTGATGGGTAGGACGAACGGAAGATACAGAAAAATACAAAAAACTGTCATCCTTGATATCGCTTAAAGAAGACTTGGAAAATTTAACGAAGTCTTTTTGCTCAGACTTCTCTCTATTGATTTCGCCATTCTTTCAAGCGGCAATATTTTATTTGTCAGTTAGTCATTGTTAATTGCTTGTTGATTGTTCTGAAGGCTGTTCATCTGTTGATACGCGTACATCGCATCGTCGTCGTTTTCTTCACAGGCATGTACATTCTTCTGTTTTAGTTGCACAATATTGTCTACGACTTGAGCATCCCGGTGGTCGAACAGCTCAGCGCGCAGCTGGAGAATCTTCGTAAATGTCAAGGCGTCGTAGAATGCGAAAGCTATGGTAAAAGCTAATGTTCGCTTTTTGTTAGGCGCAAATTTGTACCTTTACTTATTTTGTACCGTTGTCCAGTTATGGTGTTGTACTGTTTGTAGCTACAGCGGTATGTTGATCATGCCGAAATGATTATACGTCTGTTCACTTCCTCCTTCGCTTCGAATGCATACTCTTTAGGAATGTTATGCACGTTGGAAAATACTGACCTCCTTAATGCATCTCAGTATCCGTTGTTAGACTGAGTGTTTTAAAACAATTGTTGACAGCTTTGTTCTGGCTTTGTTGCGAGACGAATTTACGCGGTTCTGACAGGTGTTCTCAAAGGTACTTGAATTGAGACACTGAAACTAATACTAGGGCTTCAGTAAAAACATCAAAGTTGCGGCGTAAAATTAATCGTGCATACAGCAATGTCATAATTAATAAATGACTCCAAGATCAAATTTCGCCGCATATTGCTCCGCCCCCTTGCTCCTAATTGCCGAAGGGACATTTAAACAGGCCACGGCTCTGTGGTATTTGAGTACTTGCAATGCCAGGTACATCTCGTATCATTTTGTTGACTCGTGCCATACCACGCTTATCATAAATAATGTTTCAGTAGCTGGGACTCCTAATAAGCTACCACGTAGACATCACACGTCTGAGTATATCACATATCAAATGACTCCTCCAGCACCAAAACGATGAGGTTTAGGCAGAGAGGTAAACTTAGTAATAATCCAGTAAAATTGCGGTAATTCCGGTTTGAACTGAGCCGCAGATAAATTACGGCACATACCGGAATAAATGGATTGCCACTCTGGGCAGTAACATTTGCAGTAAGGTCTTCTTAAACTCATACCCATAACGCCCCATGGATAGACTGAAACTGATAAGTCTCCTGATTCCTTGAGTAGCGGCACAAAAAAAGGAAAAACTTGTTTGCAACTATTCCAATATTTTGACTGAATTTGCATCGTTCATTATCAAAAATGGCCAATTCTGTCAAAGTAGTTGCAAATTAAATTTTTTGTTTTTGATCAAGAACCCGTTTAGTCAGAATAAGGCAAGCAAAAATGAGCTTTCTTTGGAAGAATAAATGAAATGAACATGATGCAAAGAAGTAGCTGAAGCTCACCATATCAGCGTGAGCTGTGTAAGAAGCGGTTGTGATATCCCAGGCTTAAAATTGCTCTCATCAGCACTTGACAATAGATTAATCAAAGTCTTGTTAAGGTCCGTTCTATGCAGTTCTTCGAATTGACACCTGACAGCATATCTTTCTTAGCATAGGAGGGGTTCTGAAATTTTACTGTGCCAATTTAAAGATTTTAGATTTTGAAATCGATTAAAACGTTGTTGTCAGATGCCAGCGCGCCCTGTGACTACACTCCGCCTTGACACGCGTCATAGTTGACTATCTAGTGAAAAAATCAGTGCAAGTATAACCTAGTTTTGATTTTATCCATCTTTAAAGTAGTATGTTGAGAGGGAATGTATACGCGCAATGATCTGGTTGAATGGTACCTGATGCAATCACGTGGCTGATGTGAATTCTCGTATTCCCAGTCCTTAGGAAATACAGTTTAAACTCAATTTACCCATGGCGTCCATCACAAATAGCCCTACTGGCATTAAATAAATTATATAAACCTAAAATGGAGAAAAGTCCGCAAGCCTCTGTACTGACTTCGTTACGGAGGAACTGTACTCTGAATTTAACAGATGATCAAATTTGCAATGTTTTCAGTGCGAAGTTTCACGGAAGAACAGGTTCTATCCGTCTTGTAATTGCCTCAGGACGCATGAGAACAATTAATCTGAGGAAAAATCAGTTGTTAAGTTAAGTGTAGCAAATTCCTTTCTTAGAGAAAGCTAATTTCGCAGTTTCGAAGAAATCTCATGAATTTGACTGGTTCCGGTAGTCGATGTAGATTTAGCCTTAGATCGTGCTATGAAACAAATTAATCATGAATAATTTTAGAAATAAATAGAAAAAACTGAATTGAAGGGAATTCAGGAGGGGAAACAACTGCTTGCTGACACGCAAAACTTGTCAGACTAAACCAGTGTGAATGTATTCCTAAACGAAGCAATGAACAATATGATTCGAAACGATAGTTCATTTAAATTACCAATGGCATAATTGGCCAAGAACATGGCAACCTCAATAACTGATTCATGACTGAATGAAAGTTTGCGACCAGAAGATGGAACATAAAATTCTGAGGAACCGATCTACCGCAAATGGCGTACATGAACCAGTTATCATAGCAGTCGCTGCCATTCTATCAACTTTTACCTTATGAAGAAAACTCATTAAACACCATTTCATCGAAAGGACTAAAGTATAGTAATTTATAATCACTCACGTCATTAAAAGCGTATATTGTCTACGTCGACATTGCAATGTGAACCAAATGGAACGGATACCATATTCCCGCCTTGACGCTGTCTCTCGGACGGACCGCTAATTTCAGCACCGTCACCGAAATCGCTTATGGCGAATATTAGTAGGTAACGTGAGTACTTGGTCAACAACGATTGGTTATCAAGAGAAAAGGCATGTTATGGAATATGTACATCGGCACCGTCGCTGTCGAGGGCGGTTGAAAATTTCTTGCTTGCCATGACGAATCTTGTTTTGTAACTGCATTACGACATGCGAATTGTAGATAATTCACAGTCCATCGTGTTCTCTGCCCGCCTGTCCTGAAAATCTGTTTGGCAAAAATGTCAGAATTAAACAACAATAAATCTTGTCTAATGAATAACCAGCACTTCAACGGTTCTACGGACATCGAATCAGCCAAACTGCAGTTCTACTAGACCTGCCGATGTTTCATTCAAACTCTATTAGCCATCATCAGGGCAAACAACTGTTGTCCTGTTGGCGAA